TGTATTGTTTATTGCGTGTTGGTAGCCTATCGGTAACATACATCGGTACTCCGCTGAATCTAATCAGCATAAACAAGACAGTACTGACATTGCTTGGTTATATGCATATACTCGTGTTCTTTCCTGCTGTATGACTGGGACTACAGTGGCATACTTCGATAAAAACGTGGAATGCGGCACGGACCCTGTGCGGTCGACACATGCAGTGAAACTTCGTAAAAGAACATCCTCGTACACTTCTGATAGACAATAACCTCATTCACTTCTGACATTAAACAACAACCTTATACACTTCTGTTATCAAACAATAACCTCACTCACATCTTATCAACCACTCACTTCTGATATTCGAATGCTAGATAATACACAAACATACCATGGCGTACACAGACTTGTTGCACTTGGCGCATTTGTCCGCCCCCCCGAAACGGGACACCTTCTTTGGTTCCGAACCTTTCTTGACCATGACAGTCTCCTGCTCATTCGCCTGAGCCTCGAACGCCTGTCTGGCCATGACGGCGTCTTGGTCACTCCTGGTGACCCCGGTCTCAACACTGCTCGCACGCTTGACCTCAGTCTCCACAGGGGCAACAACCTCAGCGACCTCTTTTTCAGATGCAGGTGCAGGTGCAGATGTAACCTTTTCTTCGGGCACAGGTGCAGCCTCTACGCTCTCGGGAACAGCCACACTCACCACGATTTCCTCGCAATCGACCACAGCAGGTGCAACCTCAGTAACAGCTACAGCCGGTACAGCATCATCAACCACCGCTTCTTCCTCTTCCACAGCCGCACCTTCAATCTCTACATCACTCGCTGAATGGACAACAGCATCCACCTCATGCACATCAGATACTTCAGATACAATCTCGGTGCTCTCGGCAACATCGTCGACAACTTCAGTGACAGTTACAGCCGGTACAGTATCTTCAACTACAGCATATTCCTCCACTACAGCCTCTGCTACAAGTTCTGCATCATTCGCTGATTCTACAGCTGTATTCACCTCACGCTCATCCGACACTTCAGCTGCCGTTTCTGCAGTCTTGGTAACGTCGTCATCTACACACTCCTTTGCATTCTCAACAACAGCCTCGTCTGCTTTCTCATCAACAACCTCTGTGGAGTCCACAGATGCAGCCACCTCAGGTGCAATAACCGCCTGCACCTCCGCCTCAGAGACAGGTGCAACACTGCCCTCAGATTGTTCCTGAGTTGGTGTATCTACCACTTCTAGTGTGTCGCTCTCCTCCACACCGGTTTCAGATACACAGTCCTCACTCTCCGATACAGACACTGACTCATCGACAGGCTCGCTGGGAGCCATGTCGGCTACAGGTACACCAGCTGTGGCAGCAACAGCATTGTCCTCCACATCAACGGTCTTAGTAGGTGTTGTAGTATCTGTGACTGTGGAAGCGGGCAGGTCATTCTCGCAAGCTTGGGCCATCATTGTGTCTGAAAGAGAGTTGTTAGAGGCGTGGAGTGTGTGCTGATATGGTCTTTCCGGGAAATGTGGCATTCGGAGAACTGGAAACGACAATAGGTGGCAGAGCCAATGTTATATACTGAATGAATATCGCTGGCTTGCTTGCTTTGGATGAATTGTCGAGTTTTATTTAGATTTGACAAATATATTCAGGCAGAGGTATAATTTAAAAATATCACGTTCTCGGAGTATCAAATTTGGACTTCTGTCACTGTATGAATACTGTATAGCTATATGTAATTTCAATTTGGTTAAAAACTGTTCACACCAGGAGAGACCTAATATACACTGTTTTCCCGTATCTATTTATTCTACGGCTTATCTATCCAAACATTTCACATAATGGCACCAAATATTGGTAAATATAAATATAATATTTGGTTAGGGTTTAACCATTTCTCTCGGTATTTACTTTTTATGCTCAACCCGAATTGGATTCCGAGCCCTCAGCTGAATTCTGGACTGGTCCAAAATAGTGCAAACCAAAACAGATCTTCCTCCCTAAGATTCGATTGGTCCAAAAACTAGGACAGATCTCAGAAATGATTTGATTGGTCCGATTGATATTCTTCTTCTGATACAGTGATATGTAAATTGTAAACACTCAGATAAAGCCATTTTTTAAAAAGCCAACTGTAGAGTAACAAGTACTCTCTCTCAGAGGCTACACTCACGTATGACTAATCCAACCGGAGTTCGGTACACATGGAAGCTTTAGTTCACCACTGTATATACAAAAACTACTTTCATATATATAGCCAATTTAATACTTGTTAATAAAATAGTTATTCAGTCCGTTAGTTTACTGGACTTATACGGGTTCTACACCAACAGTCAACAGCGTTAAATATTTACAAGTTAAATACAACTAACAACTTCAGCCAGAGGCCCAGAGGCCAGAGCCCTCTATATATTAGACCATCCAATAAATATACGTTTGCCAATGTGTATATCTCGATGGCCTTAGTTTGTATGACTATCGCAGTGGTGCATATTTTGGAGCCCTGAAGTTTAAAAAACTGGGATATTTTTCTTTAGGATGTCCGATTATTTTCCACATCTTTAAACCTGAATAAATAAGCGTTTACGTTAATGTCAATTTACACCCCTAAAAAATAAAGAGCAGCAGCTCTCTCACATTTCTACATAATAATAATAGAAAATAGACATATATTTTATAGAAATCAATAGCACGAGCTATTTTTATCTTTTTATATATTATTTCATATGCCAAAACAGGATTGAATCCTCGTCATGGCTTTTGTACAAGAGAGAGGACAACTATATTATTACAATGCTACTATTTTTTTTCTTATGCATATCGGCCTTCTTACCTTAGTTTAACTTGGAATAAAGTTCACTGCGTTCACTTCTCAGCCACTTCATATAAAGCACACATCGTGGTACACCCACCATATCCCAACCTAATTCTATTACCAAATCTGTAAGGAGCCCCTTCACGTTTTATAGCCAAATCGCTCAGCACGTCTCACATCATTTTGTCCGCGATGCTTGACTATCTACCCGAAGACATCCTTTTCAAGGTTTTCGATAATCTTGATGGTGCCGATGTGAAGGAACTAGGCAAGACATGCAGAGCGCTGCGTGCTTCTGTCAATGCGAGTATTAACGATGGCTGTGTCTGGCGACGAGCCTGTGAACGCGATGGCATATCTAAGTCGAAGAGTTGGAACGGTAGGCACTGGGGTGAGGCTTATTCATATCGACAGTACTATGTGTAAGTAAAGTTATCTATGTACTGTTATAACTTGAGAAATTATTCTTACGGAAAAAACACTATGTGTTATTCTTTCAATATATGTTTATATTATAATGTTCTGAATCCAAATTGCACTCTCCAGGACTTGTCGCAAAGCGGCAGATGTATGGAATCGAACTGAGTTTCAAAACCTCAAATCGTATAATGAACTGGTCAAGTACCTCTCTACGTCCCTGAAACTCTGTGAAACCAAACGAGTTCAAATTACGGTGCCCAGATGTATCAACGATTGCAAACAAGACAACAAGAGGTAATGGTTACCAAGCATTCTATTTATTAGTA